GCCGTGCATCCATAACTCAATAGTGTACGCTGTGATGTTTACCATTTGTTAATTAATGTTTAAATTAGAACAAAGGATAGTCTTGTAAGTTTCAGACATGTATGCTTCCTGTCAGAAATAGGCTTCATGTGCTTCTATTGTGGTGATTGCTATTGGTACAAGTTTGCCAATGTTTAAATTTAACTTTGCTGTAAAACATTAGATTGTGGGATGAACAAAGATCTATTTACCTTTTACATGTAACTCCCAAGATCCAAGTGTCAATTCTCCCATCTAGCTGCTACCCATTTCCCTGTGAATTAATCACAAGAATTTGCTTCTAGGTCAAGCCAACAACTTCTCTTTGATAAGTTTGAATATTCTCATTACCTGTTTGCTGGATATTGTATGGACATTATGGGGAGAAGTTGCATGTTAATCACTTCTGAGAGTTAAAGGGTTATTAAGATTATTTTCTCCTTCTTCGTAGCTATATCACCAGCTGATGTGAACTATTCAGAGACTCTAAGCACCTTACGTTATGCCAACAGAGCTAAGAATATCATCAATAAACCAACAGTCAATGAGGTTTGTTATTAAAATGAGTCAGTGAAATTCTGAGTGGAGTAGGTAGGATTTTTCAGTCTGTTTGGGGGTAGGGGTGGGGGGATTTCACACTCTAGCACCTTACTAGCAATTGTGGCAATGTCAGGTTGTTTTCTCATATAATCACATTTGTCAAACAAATACCTTTATACCCCACCACCACCCCCCTCCCTTTTTCGTACACTTCTTTTCCACCTCCCCCTGGTTTAAGCCTGGTTTTTTTTTTCTGTTTTTATGGAAGCTACAATTATTCTGTCTTAAAAAAAAGAGAAAAAAAAAAGAGAAACTAAAACAATATGTGATCCGAGCGTAAGTTGTAAACTGCTTTGAATCAGGAAGGGGGGAGTCACATACTCCCTTTGCTACCCCCCTCTTAGCAGAGCCCATGATTGGACCCCTAAGCAGCACATGTTTGAGTTGTCCACGCACAGTGATTTGTTTTCATTTGTGGAAGGTATACCGAAGAAGGGGAACTTATACAATGTAGTGTTTTTGTCTTAATGCTTTATGCATAGTCAAGTGGTCTAAAACATTTGTTCATTGGCATCCAGGATCCTAATGTGAGACTGATCAGGGAACTGAGGGCTGAGATAGACAGACTCAAAGTGCTCCTGCAGGCTCACGGACAGGTATGTAAAGCTTCAGGGAGCATTTGCCATATTTGGTGGTCAGGTGTTTTTGTTGCCTTTTTTTCAATACAAAGCGCTTGGATAAAAGATTTGCAAAATAGAAACAAGTATTCCCCTGGGCAACTACAATGGATTGAGGAGGACAAACGCATTTATTAGGCGTGTCTCCTACTTCTACTCCTACGACGACAAGGAAGGTGACGAAACGACAAACTGATTCATGACGACGACACAACGTCAACGCGGCGACGACACGATCACGAAGGAGACAACGAAAAGGGTAATAGCGACATAAACAGCCGACAACTACGAGGACTCGTTACAGCATATTTCATCAATTCGTTACTTTGTTATTATTTATTATTTATTATTTATTATAATGTTAGGATGGAGTTGGTGAGCTTGGCGCGGCAGAGGAGTCGCAAATGACCGAGAAACTGCACGAGAACGAGGCGCGAGTTGAAGAACTCACGAAAAACTGGACCAGCAAATGGCGGGAAACACAGAAAATTATTGAGGTAATTGAGATCAGTCAGAAAGCAACTGAGACGTCAATTT